GAACCATCAGTTTGACTGTCTTTGCTTTTAAACCAATTATATAGAATTTCAAATGCTCTGAAAGGAGGGATCTCCTGTTTTTTCCAAGAACAGGCCTTTTTCAATCCCTATATATGAATAATGAGTTATAACCACTTATATCGTTATGCTACATATAATAATCATCTCCACACAAAAACACACAAAACATTGTTCTCTCAGTTGGCAGCTGTACATGGAGTTTAAAATAAAGCAGGTCTGTGCATTTTTATCCAAAAGCCTAAAAGCAAAGAGGTGAACCAATTTTTTTTTTCAAGTTTAAAAATATTGCTGCCAGTTTGCCAATGGCTCAGTCACATTAGAGTGAACATAGAACTGCAGCTTTTTGTGATTAGGAGACATCAATGGCTGCTCAGAAATTGCACTCAATGCTTGATGACCAATTGCAAGTAGTTGCAATCAGCACGAGTGCGTGCACTGATAAGAGTGATTCATCAGGTGCACCTCTCTTTGCAGTGTGGGGCTCAACGGCTGTGTTCTACTTATGCTCCAAAATAAAAACAAGGTTGTTGAGCGCCCTCTGCAGTTGTCCAGAAATAGTGACATTGTTACTCTGCAGTAACTATGTCACTATTTGTGGAAGAATTTCTCTCTTTCTCTTTAAAAAGTGTGAGATTCTCGCTCTACTCTGAACGTGAGTTAATATGAGGACAAATTTGATGCATCTATAACTAATATATTGTTAACAAGAAGTTTTGCACGAATCTTATTAGAAAGTATATCTTTCAACTGGAACATTTTAAGGACGATTTGTGATGGTGGGAAGGGTTCTTTCTTTTTTTTTAAATTTGATGACTTTGGATGGAATGAGCCGTATACAGTCCCAGTCCACCACCAATGCATTTGTGTCACTGACAATGCTTCTGTAGTCCCATTCAATTCAGTTTCATTTGTACATCGCCAAATCACAACAGTCACATCAAGGTTTTATTGCAAGGAAGAGACCCTACAATAATACAGGGAAAGACCCAACAATCAAGCAACACCAATCAAGCACATGGCGACAGTGGGAAGGGAAAAACTCCAGCAGAACCAGGCTCAGGGAGAAGCAGCCATCTGCTGCTACCAGTTGGAGTAAAGGAAGGAACGTAGAACAAAATACACACTGTGGAAGAGAGCCTGTGATTAATAATTAAAAATTAAGGCCAGCACGTTAATTAATGATTAAATGCAAAATGGAGTAGAAACACAGTGCATCAAGCCCCAAGCAGCCTAGACCTATTGCAGGGTAACTAAGGAAGGATTCAGGGTCACCTCCTCCAGCCCTAACTATATGCTATATCAAAAAGCTTTGAGTTTAAAGTCTTAAGCCTAATCACAAAAGTTGTCTCCCATATCCAAATTGGGAGATGTTTCCACGGAAGAGAGCCCTGAAAACTGAAGGCTGTGCTTTCTATTCAATATCATAGGGAAAAGCAAATTACTCTATTGGGGTGATACAGTACTCTAAGGTCTTTAAGATAAGATAAGGCCTGATTATTCAAGACATTGTATGTGACTAGAAGGATTTTAAATTCAATTTAGGACTCAGCAGGGGGGCAATGAAGCAAAGCGAATATGGGTGAAATATGCATGCTCTTTCCCCATCAGAAACTTTTAGGACATCTTTATAATAATCAATTACAGTAGGCCAGTAGAAGTAATAAATATATGAACTAGTTTTTCAGCATCACTCTGAGACATAGAGATATTATTTAGAGATATTGTGCAAATGCAAGAAAGCAGTCCTACACATGTGTTTAACCCCTTCACCCATAGTTTGCTGCTTTATAAGAAAGCCCTCCGCAAAGCCAGAACATCTTACTATTCATCACTGATTGAAGAAAATAAGAACAACCCCAGGTTTCTCTTCAGCTCTGTAGCCAGGCTGACAAA